GCTCTACTATACACTTGGGAATCTGATCATTCACATAAACTTATAGGACCATTGTCTGCCAACCCTATATATGTTCTTGGTTACACTCCCCATTTCATAGACATACCTAATCGTTCAGCCTGTCCACCCATCTATCCACTCATATACCCATGTTTGCCTTCACTGACAATGCAGTACTGTATGTAAGGCTGCAAATCTTTACAGAAGCAGATTGCCTCATCTTTCTCCCATGGAATGGATGGTGGATTCGAACTGCCACCCTTTTGGTTTGCAGTCAAATGTTTTAACCACTGTGCTACTAGAGCTCCTTCTATGGTGCATAAGAAATTATAAAAAATAACAATCAAAGTGAAAAAGACCTAAATAAATATGGGTGGAATCCCCAAGACTTATGGCCCTCAGTCACCCTTCAAGCCTGGAACTGAACTTACCTCAATGGCTCAACTTTCAGGCAAGCAATAGACAGGCCTACAAGGTGAAGAATACACTAGCGGGGTATACACTCCTTAGAACAGTCAGCCATTCAAGATCAAAAGAGAAGCTTTTGCTCAGGGACAAAGCTGAGAAGGCAGGAAGAGTTAGGAAAGAAGGACAAAAGGGAAACACAGAGAGGAAGTCAGAAGAGTGATGTTACATTGTGGGCATTGCATTCATGCCATGAAACAAAATGTGTATGAATTGTTGAATAGAAAAAAGAGAAAATCTCTGTAAACTTTCACTCAGATCAAAATAAAAACTAAAAATTCAGTGAACATGTCTCACAGATTGAACACAGCCAAAGAAATAATTGGTGAATCAGAAGATGTATCAAAAGTTATGCAGAATGGAGCCCAGAGAGGCAAAAGGGTAGGAAATATAGAAAGAAGGATAAAATATAATTAAAATAATAACTACCACTAACTACAACTATGTTGTTGTTATTGTTAGATACTGTCAAGTTGGCTCTAACTCATAGTGACCATATGTACAGCAGAACAAAGCACTGCCTGGTCCTGTGTCAGCCTCACAGTCCCTGCTCTACCTGAGTCCATAGTTGTGGCCACTGTATCAATCCATCTTGTTGAGGGACTTCTCCCTTTTTGTTGACCCTTCACTTTACCAAGCATGATAACCTTGTCCAGGGAAGGGTCCCTTCTGACCAAAGTAGGTGAGATGAAGTCTGGCCATTCTCACTTCCAAGGAGCATTCTGGCAGCACTTCTTCCAGGACAGATTTGTTAGTTCTTCTGGCAGTCCATGGTACTTTTCAGTATCCTTCACCAATACCACAACTCAAAATCATCAACTCTTCTTTGGTCTTCCTTATTCATTGTCCATCTTTCACATGAATATGAGGCGATTGAAAATACCATGGCTTGGGTTAGGCACATCTTAGTCTTCAAAGAGACATCTTTGCTCTTCAGCACTTTAAAAAGTTTTTTTTTGCAGCACATTTGTCCAGTGCAATATGTCATCTGATTTCTTGACTTCTGCTTCCATTGGTATTGATTGTGGAACCAAATAATATGAAATGTTTGACAACTTCAATCTTTTCTCCATTTATTTAGATGATGCTTATTGATCCAGCTGTAAGGATTTTAATTTTCTTTATGTTGAGGTGTTATCCATACTGCACACTGTAGTCTTTAATCTTCATCAGTAAGTTCTTCAAGTCATCTTCACTTTCAGCAAGCAAAGTTGTGTCATCTGCATATCACAGGTTGTTAATAAGTCTTCCTCCAATCCTTATGCCACACTCTTCTTCATATAGTCCAGCTTCTCAGATTATTTACTCAGCATACAGATTGAATAATTATGGTGAAAAGATACAACCCTGATCCACTCCCTTCCTAATTTTAAACCATGCAGTAGCCCCTGTTCTGTTCAAACAACAGCCTCCTAGACTATGTACAGGTTCCTCATGAGCACAATTAAGTGTTCTGGAATTCCCATTCTTCTCAATGTTATCCATAATTTGTTATGATCCACACAATAAAATATTTTTGCATACTCAATAAAACACAAGTGAACATCTTTCTGATATTCTCTGCTTTGAGCCAAGATCCATCTGACATCAGCAATGATGTCCCTGTTTCACATCCTCCTCTAGATCTAGCTTGCACTTGTGGAAGTTCTCTGTCAAAATACAGCTGCAACTGTTTTTTAATACTCTTCATCAAGATTTTACTTGCATGTGATATTAATGATATTGTTCAATAATTTCCATATTTTGTAGGATCACCTTTCTTTGGAATGGGTACAAATATGGATCTCTTCCAGTCAGTTGGCCAGATAGCTGTCTTTCAAACTTCTTGGCATAGATGAGTTAAGTGCCTTCAGCGTGGCATCCATTTGTTGAAATATCTCAGTGGGTATTCTTTCAATTCCTAGAGACTTGTTTTTCACCAATTCTTCTTGTGGCTTAAACTTCTTCCTTCAATACCATTGGTTCTTGATCATATGCCACCTCCTGAAATGGATGAACATTGACCAATTCTTTTCGGTACATGACTCTATGTATTCTTTCCATCTTCTTTTGATGTTTCCTGCATCAGCCAATATTTTGCCCATAGAATCCTTCAATACTGCCTCTCAAGGCTTGAATTTTTTCCTCGGTTCTTTCAGCTTGAGGAATGCCAAGCGTTTTCTTCCCTTTTGGGTTTCCAACTCCAGGTCTGTGCACATTTCATTATAATAATTGACTTTGTCTTCTCAAACTGCTCTTTTAAATCTTCTGTTCAGCTCTTTTATCTGTCATTTCTTCTATTTACTTTAGCTACTCAAGGGCAAGTTTCAGAGTCTCTTCTGACATCCATTTTGGTCTTGCCTTCCTTTCCTGTCTTTTTAATGACCTTTTCCTTTCTTCATGGATGTTCTTGATGTCATCACACAAGTTCTCTGGTTTTCAGTCATTGGTGGTCAGTGCTTCAAATCTATTCTTCAAGTAGCCTCTAAATTTAGGAGGGATATAATCAAGGTCATATTTTGGCTCTCTTGGACTTGTTTTAATTGTCTTCATCTTCAACTTGAACTTGCAAATGAACAGTTGATGGTTTGTTCCACAGTCAGCTCCTGCCCTTGTTTGGGCTGAAGATATTGAGCATCTCCATCACCTCTTTCCACAGATGTAGTCAATCTGATTCCTGTGTACTCCATCCGGCAGGTCCACGTGTATAGCTGTTGTTTATGTTGTTGAAAAAAGGTATTTGCAATGAGTAAGTCACTGGTCTTGCAAAATTCTATCATGTGATCTCTGGCATCATTTCTATCACCAATGCCATATTTTCTAACTACTGGTGATTCTTCTTTGTTTCCAACTTTTGCTTTCCAATCACCAGTTATAATCAACACATCTTGATTTCATGTTTGGTCTATTTCAGACTGCAGAAATTGGTAAAAATCTTTAATTTCCTCATCTTTGGCTTTGGTGGTTGGTGTGTAAATTTGAATAATATTAACGTTAACTGCTCTTCCTTGTAGGTGTATGGATATTATCCTATCACTGACAGCATTGTACTTCAAGATAGATCTTAAAACATTCTTTTAATAACGATGAATGCCGCACCATTTCTCTTCAATCTGTCATTTCCGGTGTAGTAGATACCACCTCGGAAACCCAAGGAGGGGTTGCTATGAGTCAGAGATTTGACTCGATGGCAGTGAGTTTGGTTTTATTTTTGTTTTGGAGATCATATGATTGTCTGATTCATAATGGCCAAAACTATCCATCTTAGCTCACTAATGGCTAGGATGTCCATCTTTATGCGTTCCATTTCATTATTGGCAACTTGCAGTTTTCCTAGATTCATGGTTTGTACATTCCATGTTCTGATTATTAATGTGTGTTTGCAGCTGTTTCTTCCCATTTTAAATCATGCCACATAAGTAAATGGAGGTCCCCAAAGCTTTACTCCATCCACATCATTAAGGTCAACTCTACGCTGAGGAGGCAGCTCTTCCCTAGTCGTATTTTGAGTGCCTTCCAACCTGAGGGAGCTCTGGTAGTGCAGTGCCTAAGGCATTTGATTGCTAACCAGAAGGCTGGTGGTTCAAACCCACCAGCCACTCTTCAGAAGGAAGATCGGGCAATCTACTTCTGTAGTGATGCTGAAATAGGACCAAACACAGGTCCCTGCCCGATGTGCAGTCAGGCCAAAACATTTTACACACCAAGTGATTGAGAGGAGAGAAAATTATTTATTGCAAAGTGGCAATGCAAAGAGACAGGGGTCTTTTTACCCAAATCTGACTCCCTGAATCTGAATCGAATTACAGTTTTGTAAGTTTCAGAAGAGAGGGTTATGCATATTCATAAAAACTTCAGGAATTTGGGCATAAGATAGTTGACAATTGGCTGAAATTTCCTTCACCTCGATTTAAAGGGACAGTGGTTTTTTAAATGCGCTGCGCCTGTGCACCAGATGAGTCACACTGGCTTCCTGTCATCAGCTGATCAGGGCTTAGGCAGAGGAGAGAATGTCAGTCCCCAGCAACTTTGGTCCTGCCTGCTTCAGCGGCGCATGCATGTGGGCCAGAGTTAATTTTCAAGTTGCCTTCTGAGACACATTAATGTGTTTATCACCTGTTTCTAGGGGAATAGCAGGAAAGAATGTGCAAATTGGCTTTTCATTGCATTCAGTTCTTAAGGAACTGAGCTTATTGTGTTTACTCATCTGTTTCCAACCAGGGTCCTATTTGTCTTAATCAGGGTGGGGAAATAGTTGAGCTTTCATCCTAGTCAGCTTTTAAGGATCTGAGTAATTATGTTTACTTATTTATTTCTAACTGGGGTCTTATCTGTCCTAACCAAGGTGGGGGAAGTAGTTGAGTTTTGACTTTACTCGGTTTCAATACTGCCTCAGAAACCCAAGGAGGGGTTGCTATGAGTCAGATCTGACTTGACAGCAGTGAATTTTTTTCCCCCCAACTTAAGCTCATCTTCTGGCACTATACTGGAAAACGTTTCAGGGCTATTCATAAAGTTTTGCAGTAATATATCAGACAGTGTTTCACTGCTATTCATAAGGTTTTCACTGCCCAATTCTTTGAGAAGTGGTGGCCTCTTCCTTCTTCCTAGTCTGTCTTAGTCTGGAAGCTCCACTGAAACCTGTCCATCATGACCCTGCTGGTATTTGAAATACCAGTGGCATAGCATCCAGCCTCACAGCAACACCAGCAACACGTAAGATACCACAGCAAATTATTTTCCATTCAGTAATTTATACACAGATTGTACCATGACATTGGTTTCAATCCCCACAATGTATCATCCTTCCCCCCATCCACGTTTCCATTCGCCCAGTTTTCCTGCCCCTATCTGCCTTCTTCACTTTGGAAACCAGACTTCCTATAGCTGGCCAAGCAGTCTTACAGTAAATATTATATTCGATGGTGGAGACACACTGATTGACAAGATAGATTGTTTTGTTTTTTGCGGTGGTGGTGGTGGTGGTGGTGGTGGTGGTGGTGACTATATATGTAACAGATCTTTTGCCATTGCATCATTCTTCCAGTGTACAATTCAGTAACAGTAGCTATGTTTATAATGTTTATAAGCCGTAAATTGACACTTTGGGCCACACCTCTCCATTTCTACAAAGGGTTATTTAAAAACTTTACTTCATGCCTATCATGCTGTATCCAATATATGGCAGGGTTTAATTAATCTTGGCAACTTTTCTGGTTTTCCAAATTTTCTGCACAAGTAGACGTTATTTTTGAAATTAGGCAAAACTGTTTTATTTTCTGATCTAAAAAACAAGTATCTGGAATTGCAGAAAGAGTAAAGTCCTATTTGTTGATTATTTCTAATGATAAATAAATGAATCAATCAATGAGTAACCACACTAATCTCGTATCTACATTTTAAGCTTCTCAGGGTTAGGGGCTTACTAAATGGATCTCTGATTTCCCAGCTCCTAAGGAGGGGTTGCTATGAGTCAAGGTCTGACTCGATGGCACACAACAACAAAACAACATGCCCAGGCAGTGCCTCACTCACCAGTAGGCTTTTAATGAATATATTTTTTAACTGCTCATGCAACACCTACACTGTGTTTCTTTTTCTCTTTATTTTTTGAATGTTTAACAGGGATCTATTTATACCTGCACTTTTGACGAGGAGCCAACCTTAGATAAAGTCCTAACAGCTTGTGATGGGAACTTTCAGGCAATTGATTTTATCACACCTGGAAACAAACACTTCATGGTAGGCAATGTTTTATTGTTTCACAGTAGAGTTAAAGATGAAATGTGTTCCGATTTAAATCTCTATCCATATGTAATTGGGTAGCCTTGGAAGTCCCTGTGCAGAGGGGATGCGAAGAGATCTGGGAGAAGCCAATCACTCCATGATCAAATCTACTGCCCAGTCGGAATGATGTCATCATATTGTGTCTTCATAATATTAAATCTTCTGAAAATGGCCAAAACAATTGAGATCTTAAGAAGCATTCTGTTTTGTTTTGTTTTTTAAATTTTTTTGTATG